CCCTTCTTAAATTACACGAAACACCATCACTGCAGTGTGTGTGTGTGTGTGTGTGTGTGTGTGTGTGTGTGTGTGTGTGTGTGTGTGTGTGTTGTTACCGTGAAGAGGGCACACAGCCGGTCCACCTTCTCTGGATTCTTTGGACCTCCGTTCTTGTTCAGTCTCACCATGAACTTCTCACTGAAACAACACAATCAACGGCCACTTTGGTTAGTTTTAGTAAAAGCGATTTCTTTCAGTGAGATCAGGTCGTCACCGCCTCTGTGCTGCTTTATCGCTGATATTTGACCTGAGAAAAGGAGATACAGGAAACAGTGTGTGGCGTCTCTCTCTCTTTATTCACAGACTCTGCCAGATGGCTTTATCTGGCAGAGTCTGTGAATAAAACTTAAAAAACTTCTGTTTTTCTTTAAATGTTCCTCATATCAGCCACATGTCAACTGCACACGCTGCTCAAGCCTGAGGTTGAGAAGCTCTAACCGCTGGCAATTTACCCCCGGCGCCCTCTCTCCGTCTCCTCGAGGGATTTCTGGAAGAGATAAAAATTCTTTTGGATTTCTGCTCAAGCCTTTTCCCCGCGAGTACCAGCAGTGAGGAAACTCTAAAGCAGCATGTCTCAGCCTTTTTCGCTTCAGGGAACAGCAAAGTATTGTCTGCTGGTGTCAGCGACTCTGTTCTTTTTACCCATATTTATCCAGGGAAACGTGACGGAGCTGACGGGCCTTTGTTCAGCCACGTCGTGCCTCAGACACATTAGAAGATTTCTCAAATCATAAGTACGTCTGACAGGAGCGAGCTGCACATAAATCCACTGATACTCGCTGACTTACTGTCGTGTTCTTCTTGATGCCCGTCAGTCTTAAAGCAGGCAGGTCTTACATCACGCGAGGTCGCCTCAGGCCAGATGCCAGAAAATCGAGATGCGGAGGCACAAAACGGGAATCCAGATGGGGAACGATATTTCGACATCAATCAACAATATCAATATACAAATATTAGCTGACAGGGATATTCAGCCTTATATATTTGAGTGTTAAGCACAAACTAAAGTCTGAGTTTTTGGCTCACAGCGATTATTTGTCCTCCATGTTTAATAAGCTGATCCACAGTCGTAAGAACGTCTTTATGACAGAAACGAGGAAACAGTTTTATCTTATGAGCTTCATGAACAGTCCCAGAGTCTGTAATGAACTGAGAGTTACATTTAAAAGGATGTTAGATAATTAGATACGAGTCAACATATTCCTACCACAGTCATGCCTGTTTAGGAAAATGATAAACGAGTGACCAAGGTTATATTTTAGCTTCTGATATTTTTACAGCACAGCAGAGAAGTCTGAGTTGGGATGCCTCCAACAAAACGGTCCGGCTCCTCGACTGCCAGCCAGAAAATCTCAATCCACGATCTTCTCCTGGTGGAGTTTCTGAACTGGGTTCAGTCAGCGAAATCCTTTTTTTCTGCCTTCAAAAACTGCTTGAGCAGCTGCCACTTCTGAGAGCACTTACCCACCTAATGAGCCCTTCATCTCTCCATCTCTCCATCACCATCCGCTGCACTTCTCTGTATTTCCCATTTGCTTCATGCACCTACAGACTTATGGGCATGAAAGACGGAGCAGCGAGGGCCTGATTTTCTCTGTCTGTTCCTTTATCTGCTCAAGTTCGGTTTGTACCTCAATTTTACAATGCATAGGACAAAAGTTTCCTGCAAATTAATAAGTGTAAGAAGTAGGAGAGCGATGGAGAACGTGTTCTTCATTCTTTTGGACAAGACCGAGCTGAGAAAAATCAGGACGAACGCTCTGACAGTCAGTCCTGGGCAAAAGGGTTTATGAGACAATGCATTAGAGTATTATCTACTCTCGTTTTATTAGTTTTTCAACTGAAGCCATCACTTCGTTAGCACTGTTAAGTAAATCCCTTCCCTGTTTAAAGGATGACGTGAGGGTTAATATGTTGCCTCCATTCCTGGTTCCTTTTCTTTAGACAACAGAAGAATGAAAGCAGCGATTCTCAGTGAGTCAGTCTCTCTCTGAGCTGCACTAGTAGAATATTTGCAGTCCTGCGTCAGTGTTCAGCGCACGTAGTGAGGTGGCAGAGACGATGGCCTTTACGTCGGGAAACTTCTCTGCAGCGGTGATAATAAGGGTCTGCTGAAGAGCTCGGCTTCAGACGCACCTGCTTCAAAACACTGAGGTGAGCAATGCTCAGAAATGGCACGGCTGGCTTTCAGCTCAGGTAAAGACAACAGAATGAAGGAATGAAGATGCTGATTATGTGGAGGTTCGAAATGCTGCCGATATCAGCTGACTGTGCAGGGAAGAGAAGTGATCACATTACGAGGTCAATCACAGAGTAGATTGCACATGCTGCCACCTGTGCGATAGATTGTTGTAACAACATGAATCATAATATAAACTCAAAAAATGCAAATTCTAGTTTTTACATGATCTTATTTCTTTTGAAATGTTTGAGTGCATGGAGTGAAACCTGCGAGTGATCAGGATGGCACGTCGAGCTACGTCGTCACACATCAAACATGCCCTCCCAGCTCACGGGTCTAATGAAGTGCCGGTGCTCTGCATCCACCTGTACGCTCGATTCACTCAACGCTCACAAATTTCTGCCTTATTAGTTTGAAGTGATGAGTTCAGAGCCTTGATGACAAACTAAAACTATTTTCTGCTGCTGTAATAAATCATCTCAAACATGAGCTGTTGGCTGACGATGTGTTCACACACCAATCATTAGAAATCCTCTAACTGAACGTCCTCATTAACATAAACGGCCCAACTAAATACAGTATCTCATTATAGAACATTGTTCCTCATATAGTCTTTATTACTCAGCAGATTACCCCCCACCACATATGATAAGACTCTGAGGTTATAGTGTAAGGTAATACGCAAACAACAACAAGGACCCACAAATCCCTACAACACAGACACACACTGCGTCTGGCTCTTTAAATGGAACAATTTATTCTAATCCCCCAGAGACACTGTGGGCCAAACAAATACAACAAAACACAATAAATATGTATTTCTCCTCAAACAGTGGGA